GTATCTTGGCACAAATAAGATCCAAATATCAATTTAATCCAAGAATAAAATTGACAATCTAGAACTAAATTGTCTCAACAAAATTACAACTTGAACTCATTTAAAACTAAACAATTTCAAGTCCTTGAATTAAAAAGATAAATGAACATCACTCCCTTGTGGTCTTCAAGTGCTAGCCCAAGGCTCTAGTCTCCTCCATGCTCCTCCCAAGTTGCCTCCCTATAAGCTTAAGCTACCATCAAAATGTCTCCTCCTCCAAGGTTATTAGATGCCATAGCCATGAATGATAAGATGTAGATGGGAGTTGGCCGTGCAATGAGAAAGGAGAGGAATGATTGAAATTGGTGGGTGAATGACGTGAATGAGGGGAGGAGATTTGGCGTTCAAAAATTGTCCTCCGTGCGTCAATCAATGGACAATGGAAAAAGAGGTATCCTTAGGCGTCAGGTTGGAGGGATTTTGTTTTTTTCACCCCAAGGACGTGTTTTTCTCGGAATATATGGGCACTGCACATGTATAATGAAGAAGTGAATGAAATTCTTTGACCGCCTCTCCACGTGATGTCTCTCTTCGCATATTAGGCATTTTATTGTCCTCTCAAATAAGGAAATTATTTTAATGGGAGAAAAGGAAATTTTTCTGAATCCAAAACTCAAGCCCATTAGTAATTAATTGACCCACTTGATATTAGCCATTGGATTGTGCTTAGATTCCAAGAAACAATCTTGCACCATTGGATTTCCTATGTGCCCCTTTCTTGACCTACAAGAATTTGAGTGCATCCATTAATGTAGATTATATCCAAATATAATAAAAATTAAATATTAAATCTGCACAAAAATTAGGCAAGAAAGTACAAAACTTTCTAAAAATATGAGACTTGTTTTCAAAGAAATAGGAAAAATTAATTCCAAGTCAAAAATAGGAAAGCACAAAATATTTATATTTTTAATCCAAAATCTCAATTTTTATGCAAAATCCAAAAATCAACCAATTTATCCAATAATGCATAAAAATCCAATTAAGCTCAAAATTATCATTTAAATCCTAAATTAATGTGGGATAAAATGTATAAAAATTAGGCTTTATCAATTCCCCCACACTTAGCCTTTGCACTCCTGGGCAAAGCAAATGAAGACCAAAGAACAAAAGAAAAATATAACAAAGGTGAATGTTCCAATTACAAGAAAAAGCAAGCCAAAGCATTCAACATCTCTCTTATCCAAGTGATCTTCTCATGAATCAAGAAAACAAACATCATGGCAATTTACTTGACAAAGGGGAATCTAAGTCAGAAATCCCTCACCAAGGTTAATGTGTATGTCACTCATCACTCAAAAGTATATTGGCTTGTGTTTACACTCAAAATCATCCTATCCAATCCTCTTTCCATAGGCTTGACAAGAATCTAAATTCTTCACCAATCATAAAGCAATTACAAGCATAAACTGTAACATCCTAAGTTTTTATCGAGTTTTAATAGCCTCTTTTGGTTGATTTTGAGGATAGATTAGCAATTTAATCTTGATCTAGGTGTTTGGGTTGAATTTGAGGTGTTGGAGGAATAGGTGAACGTACCCCTCCCAGGGTATGTTCGCCGCGGCGAAGTTTACTTCCCGGCGGCGCACCGGGAGTTTCAGAGGGGAGTGTCTTCTCGGGAAGGTTTGGCCGCGGCAAAGTCTTGGGGACGCCGCGGCGAAGTTATTCTGGTGAGCGAGGCTTCCCTTTCGAGAAGGTTTCATCGTGGCGAAGGTAGGGATATGCCGCGGCGAATGTTTTCTGGGTGAGCGAGAGTTTCCTCTCAGGAAGCTTTCGCCGCGGCGAAGTCGGGTTTTCAGGCGAGTAATCCCTCTCGGGATTAGTTCGCCCCGGCAAAGATTGGGGTTTGCCGCGGCGAAAGGTCCCGAATCTATATAGTCACTGGAGGGTTCAGTTGTGCGAAAATTAGAAAATCTGAAGGAGGAGAGAGGAGCTTTGCTAGGGTTTCGGTTTTGAGGCTTGGGAAAGACATTTCTAAGGATCCATTACCTCAAGTAAGTGATTTTAACCTCTAATCTTCTTTCTTTCTTGGAATTTCTTGGAATTTTTGAGGATTTGTGGTGGAACCCTAGGATTTTCTAGGTTGTGATGGAACTGAGGTTTTTGACCGATTGTTTTGAGTTTAATTGATTGCTTTGGGTTAGTTTAAGTGTTTAATCGGTGTAGTTTCCTTGGATTTAAAGAATCTTGAATTTTTGGAGCTAGGGTTTATGGAGATGGATGATTTGGGATTGAGGATGATAATGTAGAGATTGATTTTGAGTTTTGTGAATTGGGTTATGTTAAGGAGGGTTAAATTGGATGTTTAATCAATTTAGAATTGTTGTTGGAACCTTAATTGCTCAAATGGGATGTTTGGGTGTAGAATTCCATAGTGGGTCCTTGAGGTTGTGAATTTTAATTGATGTTTGGAAAGGAATTAAGGTTTTAATGGATTGGTATGACTTTGGAGTGTTGCCTTGATAGATATACCATTTGAGTTGGGTAGAGTTTTGATGGGAGATAGGAATTTTGTGTCCCCAAGTGTTGTTTTGGCCACATTATTAGTTTGAAAGCTAATATATGATGGTTTTGTGTTTGTGTGCTTGTGTAGACCGGTTGTGAGTCTTGGTGGTGCACGGGGCCACATTGTCGGTTTGTTATTCCTTGCTCAGGCGAGAGGTAACCACTTTCCAATCCTTAGTACTTGCTTCTGTGGTATTGTGAGTAGATTTGTGTTTGTGCTCCAAGTAGTAATTGTGTTCAAACTATATATTGTATATAAAAAAAAGGGAAAACCGTCTTGTGGGGTTTTTTATTGATGATGAATGAAATCTTGAAATTGTGAAGGATATGCCACTGAATGAAGTTACTTATGAGATGTTCAATTACCATTTGATTATGATTTGAGCATGATGCATGATTTGGGAGTTGGTGAGAGTTTTTGATAGTTACTACCACGTGGTAAGGCCTCCATTAATGTATGATGGTTGGCTTAGTACGTCCCCCATAGTGAGGGATAGGCCTTTTGGCTCCTTACGTCCCCCAAAGTGAGGGATAGGCCTTTTATGGCTCCTTACGTCCCCCATAGTGAGGGATAGGCCGGCTTCGGCTCCTGAAAATCCCCCAAAGTGAGGAATTTGGTTGTTGGGATTGCATCATTGCACTTGCATAACTTGTTGTGGCTATCTTGTTATTATACTATTTGTGAACTGCCCCACTTGACACCTCACGAGCACCTATTTAGTAGTACCTAGTATTGGAAAGGTTGGTTACTGGGACTCCGTCTCACCCCGTGGTTTACAATGTTTTCAGGTGAAGGTTCCGGGCGTGGGCCATCGGGAAGAGACGCAGAGGCTTGAGCTTGGTTAGCTTTAGGCCTCTAGCATTTGTATATGTATGACTAGTATATATTGCCACAGTTAGGACTGCTTTTTGATATATTTGATTACCCGGCATTGTTGTAAACTGGAGAGAATGTATCTCCTTATTTTGGTTGGCCGGAAGCCATTGCTAGTGTTTTATGAACTCTGGATTATTTGGTTGGGAATCATTTAGATGGGTTGATGTGATGTCTGTTGTTACCCGGGCCGGAGGCTCGGAGGCCCAGTAGATGTAAATGAATGATTTTTAGTTGCATGCAACGGATTACGGGTTGACCCAAGTTTGAAAGCCAATTTTCTAAAAATATGAAATTTTCCTTCTACTATGGTAGCTCATTTTAACAGCTTTCCTTTTCTACCATAGTAGAGGCTTTATGATGGGTTAAAATGTTTTGAGGTTAAGGGTTCTTACATAAATCAAAAGGACTTTTATTAGGTTGTAATGGGGTTAAGGTAAAAAAAAGAAAGGATATAGTGTTTGGGAAAACAAAGTTAAACATCTTAGAAAATGAAGAGAGTCAATAATAAAAAAATATAATAGAATGTAAGAAACTAAACTAAACTTGAATTGGGTCATTCTTTTTCTTTTTCTTTTCTTTTTTTTTTCTCTTTTTTTTCAAGCACTTTTTTTTAAAACTTTCTTAGGCCATTATGTATATGCTCTTTCGACGCGAACCTTCATATTGGTGATACAAAGGCCCGGTTACTCAAGCATGGATAACTCATTGGCACTAAGATGCTACTAGCACGCTCATAGCCCTTACTGGTCGTTTGACGCGAAGATCAACATTGGTGATGAAGATCCCCGGTTACTAAGCACAGCTTAAACTAGAGGAGCGGAATCTTATTACAATATTTTTTTTTCTTTTTTTCAAATTGACCCAAACCATAACTCCAAATGTGTTCCTCCATCCCAAGCACATATAATATAACACTCTTCAACTCCTAAGACATTCGGAAGGGGTAGGATTTTTTTTTTTTGGCTATGGGTTAAGAGAAAAAAAATGATGAAGGCTCAAAGGGGTTAAGCAAAGGATAAATGCATGGAAAGGGTAGGCTCTTGGCTTATCTGGTTGGAAAAATTAAAATGAATGCCTTTATCATCTTTATGAATGCAAATGCACAAATTTGGTCTCAAATAAGATTCAAGTCAAGTTCTAGATCAAGAAAAGAGATAGGGATGTACACACATGAAAAGAAGAAATGCATCAGGCTCAAAACCTCACTAGGCATATGATTACTAGCTTAAATTCACCTAAGTCAAATCCATTGCCACTTAGTTTATCTTCTCAAGACATGATCAATCACTTTTCAAATTAAGAATGCATCATACTTGAATCACTTCAAACTTGCAATCTTCACATTCAAAACAAAACGAAACAAAACATTTTTTTTTGGGAACTAAAACAAAAGTAAAAACACACAAAAAAAGGAAAAAAAAACTAAAAGAATGAAATCCCTCCCCCACACTTAAACAATGCATTGTCCTCAATGCAAAACACATAGGCAAGTCACAAAGCAAGTAGTATCCAGCACAACCCAACTCAATAATATGACAATGCAAAGCAAAAAGAGTGAAGGGAAGGAATACAACCAAGGCTACATGGCGTCTCGTAGTGTGATAACCTCTACATCTTGGGTAGAGAACCCCTCATAGTAGGGCTTCAAGCGATGACCATTGACTGTAAAGCATCTTCCAGTTGGCTCTCTCTTAATCTCTACAGCACCATAGGGAAAAACAGTAGTAACAATAAAAGGTCCCTCCCATCTAGAACGGAGCTTACCAGGCATGAATTTAAGTCTAGAGACATAAAGTAGAACTTTTTGGCCCACGTGAAACTCCCGTCTTAAGATGAGCTTATCATGGATAGCCTTGGTCCTTTCCTTGTAGATCCGAGCATTCTCATAGGCTTCTCTCCTAAGCTCTTCAAGTTCTTGCAATTGTAACTTTCTTTCAACACCAGCACTAGCAAGATCAAGGCTACAGCTTTTGATGCCCCAATATGCCTTGTGCTCCACCTCTACTGGCAGATGACAAGCCTTACCAAAGACAATTCGATATGGGGACATTCCAATTGGGCTTTTATATGCTGTACGATATGCCCAGAGTGCATCATCCAGCCTCTTGCTCCAATCCTTTCTGTTAGGTTGCACTGTCTTTTCAAGAATGAGCTTAATTTCTCTGTTTGAGAGTTCTGCTTGACCGTTTGTCTGAGGGTGGTATGGAGTAGCCACCTTATGCATCACACCATACTTGCTCAGTAAGCTCTGCATACTTCGGTTGCAAAAATGAGTACCCTGATCACTAATGATAGCTCTTGGGATTCCAAACCTGCAGAAGATGTGAGACCTGACAAAAGAAACCACTACAGAAGAGTCATTAGTACGAGTGGGGATTGCCTCAACCCACTTAGAGACATAATCCACAGCAAGCAGAATGTAAACATAACCAAATGAAGTAGGAAAAGGTCCCATGAAATCAATACCCCAAACGTCAAAGACTTCACAGAACAACAGTGGCTGTTGAGGCATCTCATGCTTCCTGGAAATATTGCCAACAAATTGGCACCTAGAACACTTCTTACAAAACTCGTGGGCATCATGGAATAGAGTGGGCCAGAATAACCCACTTTCTAAAACCTTCCTAGCAGTACGCTTAGCACTAAAGTGCCCTCCACAAGCAAGGGTGTGGCAAAATGTCAACACAGATTCAAATTCACTATCAGAATGCATCGCCTAATAACCTGATCATTGCAAATGTGCCACAAGTAGGGATCATCCCATATATAGAACCTAGCATCACTCTTAAACTTGTTTAATTGATGCTTATTCATATCAGTTGGTAAAACAGATGCAGCCAGATAATTAGCAATGTCAGCATACCACGGAACAGTCATATCAACTCCACAAAGTCTATTATCAGGAAAATCATCTAAGGGTAAAGAAGATGTTACCACAGGAGTCTCAATCCTACTCAAGTGATCAGCTACCATGTTCTCTGCACCGCTCTTATCACGGATCTCCACATCAAACTCCTGTATCAGCATTACCCATCTAATCAAGCGGGGTTTGGAGTCTGGCTTCTTGAACAAGTACTTGATAGCCGAATGATCTGTAAAGACAGTCACTTTTGTGTGGAGGATGTAAGAACGAAATTTCTCAAGCCCAAACACAATTGCAAATAGCTCTTTCTCTGTGGTTGTGTAATTAGCCTGGGTGGCATCCAGTGTCCGTGATGCATATGCTATGATATGTTGCCGCTTTTCTATTCTCTGAGCAAGAACTGCACCCAATGCATAATCAGAAGCATCACACAAGAGCTCAAAGGGAAGGCTCCAATTAGGTGGCTGAATGATAGGAGGTGTAGTGAGTCGCTTTTTCAACTCATCCCAAGCACACCTACAAGCATCATCAAAAACAAAGCCCACATCTTTCTGCAGTAAACGAGATAATGGTAATGCAATTTTACTAAAGTCCTGAATGAATCGCCTGTAAAATCCAGCATGTCCAAGAAAAGAGCGCACATCTTTCACACAAGAGGGATATGGAAGAGATGAAATAATATCAATTTTGGCTTTATCAACCTCAATGCCATCATGTGAGACAACATGTCCTAAAACAATGCCTTTCTTGACCATAAAATGACATTTCTCAAAATTCAGCACAAGATTATATTCAATGCATCTTTCCAAAACCCTATCCAAACTAGCTAAGCATGCATCAAAAGAATCACCATAGACAGTGAAATCATCCATAAATACTTCCATGCAATGCTCAAGAAAATCAGAAAATATGGAGACCATGCAACGCTGAAAAGTGCCAGGTGCATTACATAATCCAAACGGCATGCGTCTGTATGCAAAGGTTCCAAATGGACATGTGAATGTGGTCTTATCCTGATCCTCAGGTGCAATAGAAATTTGAAAATATCCAGAAAAACCATCCAAAAAGCAATAATGGGATCTACCAGCCAGTCTTTCAAGCATTTGATCAATAAAGGGAAGGGGGTAATGATCTTTTCTGGTCACAGAATTCAACTTCCTATAATCAATACATACCCTCCAGCTATTCTGGACTCTAGTTGGAACAAGCTCACCTTCATCATTACGAATAACAGTAATACCAGTCTTTTTCGGAACTACCTGAACCGGACTAACCCACTGGCTATCAGAAATGGGATAGATTATACCTGCAGAAAGAAGTTTAGAAACCTCTTTCTTTACCACATCAAGAATCAATGGGTTGAGTCGCCTCTGTGGCTGACGCACAGCTTTGGCACTATCTCTAACAAAATCCGGTGCATGCACACATTAGGGCTAATTCCAGGAATATCAGCAAGAGTCCATCCAATAGCTTTCATCCTTCTTTTCAGCACCTCCAGGAGGCGAATTTCTTCATCAACAGCTATGTCGCTAGCTAGAATCACTGGCAATGTCTCATCTTCCCCCAAATAGGCATATTTCAGCGAATCAGGAAGTGGCTTTAGCTCTAAAGAAGGAGCTTGCTCAATTGAGGGCACGAGGGGCTTCAAATCAATGTTAGTCAAACTAGAAACCTGCATTGAAGACTCACAAGCAAAAGAGCAGACTTTCCCAACTTGGGAATCATTAGCAGGAACAGTAACAACAGAAGAATCAGATAATACACCACAATTCATGAAAGAAGTGCCATCAGTAGCACTCATGTCAGAAGCAACATCGGGATCAAAATCAGAGACCTCTATATCAGGGACATGATCAATGTTAACTAACAGCTCAGAGTCAGGTAATGTAGATGAATCAGTTGCATCTATAGCATCAATCACACTAAGTAACTGAGAGAGTCCATGTGAATCAACAGAAGTACTAGATGAGGAATCACTGAAAGTGCCAAGTCTATGGACAGGTGCAGAAGAATCAAAACTAGAATGTCTAACAATCTCAATGAAATCAGTGAAAACATCAATATCAGCAGCATCTATACCAGTACAAGTATCACAACTACCAATTTCAGAACATGAACAAGAGATAGAATCATCTAAGCCAACAATATCACATGATCTACTTATCATACTATCTCTAAAATCTATGACAGCATCATCAGTAATAATGTCAACAAAACTAACATCAATCTCAGCACAACTATCAGGTGGATGTCTCATAGAGTCAAGCACATCAAATCTAATGATTTTACCAGCAAATTCCATAGTAAGAGTACCAGCATGCACATCTATCATAGCCCTAGCAGTCTTAAGAAATGGCCTACCCAAAATCAAAGATGAATGTCCCTTTTGCCTAAATCTAGCATCATCCATATCAAGAACATAGAAGTCTGCAGGAAATATGAGATCTTTTACCTTCACCAAGACATCCTCCAAGACTCCTTCTGGAACTACACAGCGTCTGTCAGCAAGAGAAGCGATTAGATTTGTAGGCTTAAGATCCACACCTTGAAGTTGAGCAAAAACTGATTTTGGCATGACATTGATAGCCGCTCCTAGATCTGCTAGAGCATCTGAAAACTCAATGTTACCAATGGTGCACGGTATGAGAAAGCTACCAGGATCCTTGCACTTCACTGGCATTGGCATTTGATAAAGAGAGGAGACAACCGCCCCTAAGTCAACTTTGCCATCATGCTTAAGCCTTCTCTTGGTGGTACACAACTCCTTCAAAAACTTCGCATACTTAGGCACTTGTGCAACTAGATCAACTAATGGAACATTGATCACCACCTTTTTGAAGATATCATAAACTTCTTTGAACATCTCAGCTTCTTTCTTTCTCCTTTCAGCCTTAATCACCCCTGTAGGAAAAGGTAAGACTTGCTCGCTCACTTTCTTCCCTTCCCCATCTTTTTCTTGCTCTTCTTGCAATGCCACATGTGGTGTTGATAAAGTGGACTTATTATGCGATGTGGAAGCAGGGGGAGAATCTTTAATGATAGCTTCCTTGTCCGTTGAAGCATGGGTAGTGACAGGATCTGCAGAGGTAATTGAATTTCCGCTTCTAAGAGATATAGCATTAACTCCACCAATGTTAGGATTCTGCTGGGTGCCAACATTAGGGTTAACTACTACTTGAGATGGCAACTTCCCTGAGCCTTGACTTTGCATGTTACTAAATGCATTAGATAACTGCCCAATTTGAGTTTGAAGATTCTGAATTTCTTGGCTATGTTGCAAATCCTTTTGTTCAAACTTATCCATCAGGAGTTTCATCATGCCTTCTAACTTTGAACTCTCATCTTGATTGGGCATAGTTTGCCTAACTTGTTGGAACATTTTACCACCAGAAGAGTTTATGCCTTGATTGAACTGTGATTGTTGAGGCTGGCCACTCCCATATCTGAGATTTGGATGGTCACGCCATCCAGGGTTGTATGTATTTGAGTAAGGATCATATTTCTGGCCACCTTGAGTCATAGGCTTAGTGTGGTATACTGCATTACACGAGTCAACTCCATCATTTAGGTAAGGGCAAGAGTCAGTGGTGTGAGTAGCTAGAGAGCAAATAGAGCAAAGTGGCCCAATTAGAGCTGTAGAGTCAGCTTGTGGGATGAAAGCAGAGGAAGATCCCACAGAAGGAGCCATATTTTGGGAGTTTTTCATCTGAAATACAACCATTTTCTCCATAGCAGATGTTAACTTATCAATTTTGCTCTCAAGGCGAGACTCAGAATAAGATGAATGCAATCCAACTTCATTTACTCTAGCTTGCTGCCTAGTACCAAACTGTTGGGTATTTTCAGCTTTCTTTTCAATCAATCTCCAAGCAGCTTCAACAGTCAAGTCAAGAAGAGCACCTCCAGCAGCAGAATCTAGTAAATCTCTCTCAAGAGGCAAGAGCCCTTCATGAAAATATTGAATCAACAATGTATCTGAAATTTGGTGGTGAGGACAACTGGATAACAATGCCTTAAAGCGCTCATAATACTCATATAAGGATTCCCCAGACATTTGTCGACAACCACAAATATCCTTCCTGATGGAGGAAGTACGAGATGCTGGGAAATACTTTTCCAAAAACAACCTTTTCAGCTGGTCCCATGAAGTAATGAATCCAGGAGGTAACGAAGAAGCCAATTCTTCGCAGAACTTTCCAAAGAAAATGGGAAGGCACGCATCTTAATCTGATCCTCAGACACACCAGAAGGCTTCATAGCAGTACAGATCATATGAAAAGTCTTCAAGTGATTGTATGGATCCTCGCCTGCAAGACCATTAAATTTTGGAAGTAAGTGAATCAATCCAGACTTTAACTCAAAATCAGTGTCAATATCAGGATAATTAATGCACCAATTTTGAAAATGCAGATCAGGTGAAACCAATTCCTTGATAGTCCTAGCAGGATTAGCCATGCTACTGTCAGAATGAGAAGAGTCAGGAGAATTAGAGGAATCAGCAGTTAACTTAACAGAAGAATCACTTTCTATAAGATTGCTAGCTTGAGCCCTCCTTCTTTGATGAAAAGTCCTCTCAATCTCAGGATCAAATTCAAACAATTCTTTGCTAGAGGATCTAGTCATGCACTAAGCAACTATCACAAATCAAAGTGAAATGAAAAGAAGGAAAGAAAAAAAATGCACCGAAAAAAAACTAGAGAAAGAAAATGCAAAATCACCTAGAAATCAAACCTAAAGTTTAACCATTGCTCCCCGGCAACGGCGCCAAAATTGATGATGCCTTTTGTCGTCAAAGCACTCAATTAAATTAGGTCCCAATTAATTTGTAGTTTAGGGTCGACCTAGGTCATTACTTCCAAGGAGCAAGTTATGGGTTTCTTTAGGTAAAAATTTAGGTGATAAAAAAATGCAATAAATTGGACCTAAACTAAAATGCAAAATTCTAACTCTAAATGCAAGATGCAAATGTCCTAAAATATATGAAAATTAAATTAAACTAAATGAATGCAATGCAATTTTTGGGGGGTTTTTTTTGAGGAAAATAAAAATAATGAATAAAGAAAATTAATCAGAAAGCAAAGAAAATTAAGAAGTAAAATTGAGAAGTTCTCTTCAGGTAAGGTAGAGGGGACACTTAGGATTTGCATGGATTTAACCTTCATAACCTTAATTAGTTAATTAGACCAAAGGAAAATGATAAGAGAGTGGAATTAATAAACTTAATTACCTACTTGAAATAAAGGAAACCCTTAACTTCAAAAACCCTTAAACCATTAGAGAACTCATAACAGTATAAGGCTGGTTAATTAAGCTATTAAAACCAATGAAGATAATTCAATTTAATTTTGGAAATTATGTTTAAATTATCCAATTAAACAATCAGATAATCAACCAACTTAATTAAACAATTAAGAGGTGAAAGAACCCAAATTTTGCAATTCAAACCACATTGATAATTAAACTCATAATGAAAACTCAATTATAAATTCAATTAACAATGCAAAGGTTCTAAACATAAATTCCAACAAGTATCTTGGCACAAATAAGATCCAAATATCAATTTAATCCAAGAATAAAATTGACAATCTAGAACTAAATTGTCTCAACAAAATTACAACTTGAACTCATTTAAAACTAAACAATTTCAAGTCCTTGAATTAAAAAGATAAATGAACATCACTCCCTTGTGGTCTTCAAGTGCTAGCCCAGGGCTCTAGTCTCCTTCATGCTCCTCCCAAGTTGCCTCCCTATAAGCTTAAGCTGCCATCAAAATGTCTCCTCCTCCAAGGTTATTAGATGCCATAGCCATGAATGATAAGATGTAGATGGGAGTTGGCCGTGCAATGAGAAAGGAGAGGAATGATTGAAATTGGTGGGTGAATGACGTGAATGAGGGGAGGAGATTTGGCGTTCAAAAATTGTCCTCCGTGCGTCAATCAATGGACAATGGAAAAAGAGGTATCCTTAGGCGTCAGGTTGGAGGGATTTTGTTTTTTTCACCCCAAGGACGTGTTTTCTCGGAATATATGGGCACTGCACATGTATAATGAAGAAGTGAATGAAATTCTTTGACCGCCTCTCCACGTGATGTCTCTCTTCGCATATTAGGCATTTTATTGTCCTCTCAAATAAGGAAATTATTTTAATGGGAGAAAAGGAAATTTTTCTGAATCCAAAACTCAAGCCCATTAGTAATTAATTGACCCACTTGATATTAACCATTGGATTGTGCTTAGATTCCAAGAAACAATCTTGCACCATTGGATTTCCTATGTGCCCCTTTCTTGACCTACAAGAATTTGAGTGCATCCATTAATGTAGATTATATCCAAATATAATAAAAAATTAAATATTAAATCTGCACAAAAATTAGGCAAGAAAGTACAAAACTTTCTAAAAATATGAGACTTGTTTTCAAAGAAATAGGAAAAATTAATTCCAAGTCAAAAATAGGAAAGCACAAAATATTTATATTTTTAATCCAAAATCTCAATTTTTATGCAAAATCCAAAAATCAACCAATTTATCCAATAATGCATAAAAATCCAATTAAGCTCAAAATTATCATTTAAATCCTAAATTAATGTGGGATAAAATGTATAAAAATTAGGCTTTATCAATATCCCAGGAATGTGTCTTTGTAATTTGTGTGCCTTTGCTTTCTTTTGAAAAGAAAAATATTTATAGATGCCTTCAAATGTGAAAAAAGCATGCCAAGGCACAGTCTTTTGTTGGTTACGTTAATTTGTGTGCCTTCGCTTTCTTTCATAATCATAAACACCCAAACTTCAGAAATAGCATAACAATGGAGCTGTACATAAATGATGTTTTTAATTAGATGAATTAGAAAATGTTCTTAGCCTATATTTCTGAAGTTGAAGCATTAGAAGATAAATTATATATTCAGAATCCACAGCATTTTATGGGTACTTAGATATTGTTACTTTTGTGTTTAAAGTCTCTACTCTTCTACAATTTGATTGGAAATTTTATAGTTGATGTAATCTATACTATGATAAATTTAGACTTCGGATGATGAGTTGTTGTTGTTGTTTTTTTTTTTTTTTTTTGCCATCACTTTGGATGATGAGTTGCTATTATAACGTATCAAGCGACTATGATATGAATTTGTTGTTTGATTTTTTTTTTTTGTCTGGTTTGGGCACAAATCTTAATTTCAATTATATTTTTCTCTTTACCTTTTAGGATGGGTCGTAAAAAGAAAAAGGGATCCTGTATGCTCTAACACTTCTAAGGGCATTAAAAAAACAGATGAAGTTGATGACCCAAAAGTTCATCCGCTTGTGAATTCATGGGCCCATCTTCCCTCCGAGATTCTTACCACCATTCTACTCAAACTTTCAATTAAGTCGGTTTTGATTTGCAAGTTCACATGCAAGCGTTGGCACCCCGTTATTTCAGACCCATATTTTGCTCAAATGCATTTTGAGTTTGCACCTATAAGTGCTTTGGTGCGCATAAGTAATCCTAGACATGGTTCAAGAACTTTCCATTTACTTGACTTTGATGAGTTTAAGGGTAATGAAGTCCGGAATTTGCCAAGTAATAATGATTCTGGCCATGCTTGTTCATGTAAGGATTCTTTTAGACCCAAACTGTCCCAATCACATGAAACTTGAGGTTTAGTTCAAGCTTCCTCTTCATGATTCTAAAATGATGCCAGTCATTGAGACCCAAAAAGAAGTCTTGAGGAGTGCTTACTAAATATCTTCTCCAAAAGATCAAAAGTTTGATGTAGTGAACTCTTGCAATGGCCTCTTCTGCTTATGCGATCTTTTTAAAAGAAATCCACTTGCTACTTGCAACCCAGTCACAGGAGAGTTTATAAGACTTCCACAATCTGAGAATGATAAATTGACGAGAGTTCATGTCTATTCTAGACTTGGTTATCTCAAGAGAACTAATGAATATAAGGTGATAAGAATATATGACCAAACGTGGCTGCGTGATTTGCGTTATCCTTATGCAGGTATTGAGATACACACGTTGGGGACTCGATTATGGAGAAACATCAAATATCATGGCCCATACTGGCTAACCATTAGATCTCCCACTTGTCTGAATGATCGCTTTACTGGCTTGTCTATAATGAGACAAGAATATCAATTTTATGTTTTGACTTAGAAAGTGAGACTTTTAATTCACTCCCTTGCCCCTCAAGAATATCACCCTTGACATTGAGAACTCCAAAGGCTAAAAGTCGTATTGGGTTTGGAGAATTAAAGGGAGGTCTCTACATATGTTGTCAATCTCCAGGAACAAAATGTCTTAGGTTTTGGACTATGAAAACGTGTGGTGTTGGCCAATCTTGGATTGAAGTTCTTAAATTTGATCATGATGATTCAAATAAGTGGCCACATTTATATTAACCAATAATAGGTTCTATTGATCCTGGAATTTTGATTTATGATCTTCCTAGATTTTTTATCTACTATGAACCTCAAAAGCAAGTATTTAGATGTTTTAAGGGTTGTGGGACCTCAAACAAGTTAGAACCAATTCTTCATATTCCAAGTCTCATCAGGCTAAAGGATGCTGTTAAAGGTGACAATATAATATTGAAGTGTTCAATGTCCATTCACAGTAATAATTAACACAAGGCCTGTTTTACCTAAATAATGATGTTTGATTTTTGAATAGCTTATGGTTCTTTAATACACTGATATGAATTTATATATATAGGTGTGCGCCATCTAAATTGTAGGAGGATAAAGAAGTTTTGCAGCTGACTAGGGCTGATCTAGGGGATATGAGCATCGAAGTTCTGAACTTCTGATCATGTTTTGTTCATTGGATTATAGTTACAATTATTTGTTCTTTATATTAGTTAAATAGGTTTTATATTAAGAATCGGAGGAATATAAAACAATACTACCTCCAGTCCTAATTATAAGAGTTGGTTGGCTAATTTGAGGAAATTAAAAAAAGAAGTTAAGTTAGTTATTTGTAATAAATAGGTGTTGTTTTTCCTAAAATATCATTACTACTCAAGTATGTTGGTTAAAACTAGAATTGTTAGAAAGACTATCTTAA